TGAGGTCTAAGTTATTTAATGAATTATTTTCTGCCAGTTTCTTTTTCTGGCGTTTAATTGCAGAGTCTGTTATACGTTTATAACCCTAAATTTTCCCCAATACCTAAGTCAAGTTGGCAGACAATAAGCTGGCAGGCAATAAGTCGGGTTGGCAGTTAGTAAGTAATCTGTCACTCTTAAATTTTTTTGGTTCTTATTGTGATCCATAAACAGTATAATTTCTTTGACATAGACAGAACTAAAAATTCTTGCCATCAGCAAGCAACTTGTAAGATTCATGCAATTACATAACATGAATTTACGTTGATTCCACCAAATAAAACATAATATACCCCTATCCAATACTCCTAATTAAATATAAATGCCAGTGAAGTTACAGTGACCGAATGCATGAATGCATACTAGAAACATTAATTCTTTAATTATTATACATAGCAAGGATTTGTACTCATTAACGCCTGACCAATTCCTTAATTACCCAATAAAATAAAACAATTAACTACAGGTTATTTTTTTCATGTATATGAAATGGAGACAAATTAGCATATCTTAAAAGAATGATTTAACTTTAGAATTGGATATCAGAAGGCCATCTTTTCCCGGTAAGATCACAACATCAATGTTGATTTAAACCGACAAATAAATCTTGTTTTCAATGTCGAAGATTTTGGATGATATTGAGTTAGAGACTTAGCTACTTTAATTCAATTGGTTATAACGGCCAAAAAATTTGGTCTTAACGGCCATACAAATTGGTCATAACGGCCAAAAAATAAAAAATAAATAAAAAATAAAACCATTTAATTATTACATGTACGAAATGATATTTATTTATTAACATAAATATTGAATAGGCTAAATATACATACATTACATAAACATTAAAGGAGCTAAGTCGCTAATATTTGGGACCTAGAAATTGACCAATTGGGTCGCAACGCATACAATAATGTAATATACATGTACTGAGCTCCATGGAAAACGCATCACTTAGTTTTTCGTATAACAAAATGATCCTGTAAACATATCTTATTTATTTTGCTTCTTATTGTGAACAATATTCAAATGGGAACACATCAATAACAACACATTTGTACACTTATGGATGTTTAATCTGTAATCAACGGTACAAAGTCAGAGGGGTCAAAACCAAAAGTACGACACAGATGTCAGCAGCGCGCGTGTCCTACACGGGCTCTTACGCACGCTGTGCAGCGACGTCGCATGGAATTAACCAATTTGTTTGAAAGAAGGCCTGGGGCAAATTGTTCCATTCTTGGACAAGAGCAGCTTCTAAAGCAGCAATGGTGTGCATCTGTGGTCTCCGATACAGACGGCGTCCAATCTCATCCCAAACATGTTCTATCGGTGCCATGTCCAGATACAGATGAAAGCGACCCATCACTGAAGGGCACACTTTGCCAGTCTACTCTTCTCCATGTCTGGTGTCCTTGAGCACATATCAAACGCTGCTGACGGTGATGATCCCTGAGGATAGCTCCAACATAAGGTCGTCGTGCACGGAGTCCTACTTCTCTTAGACGACGTCTTACGGTGTTGGCACTTACTGGTCCTTGTCTTCCGACGACTGCTGCACCCTTTTTTGAGTCCCTTATTACACATAGCGCTGAAACGCATTATGGCAATTTATGGTACACAATTCGTGTAAAATGTTTATTTTGTCTTAAATATTGGATAACAGAAGGCCATCTTTTCCCGGTAAGATGACAACATCAAGTCCGTAACTCAATATCATCCAAAATCTTCGACATTGAAAACACAAATTGTTTTGCAATTTAAATCAGCATTGGTGTTGTGATCTTACCTGGAAAAGATGGGCTTCTGATATCCAATATTTAAGACAAAATAAACATTTTATCATTGGTACACGAATCGTGTACCAATAATGCGTTTCAGCACCATTTGCAACAAGGTGCTCAAAGAATGAGGCTAGACATATTCCACAAGTCATGTCAAACGGTGATATTATCATATTCTTATTTGGAGAGCATGCGCAATAAATGATATCGGTGTTGACTGGAATAAGCAGACGCTAGAAACTGACTTGCGGTTCAGACTTCTGGCGTATTTCGCCGAACATAACTGATGACAATTCACGGCAAAACGGACAGTTTATATAAATTCATATTACATTATTATTTGTGTTGCGACTCATTTGTGCCATTTTCTAGGTCCAAAATTAAAATATTAGCGATAGCTCCTTTAATAAACCGACAAATAAATCGTGTTTTCAATTAATGTTGAAAATTTTGGATGATATTGAGTTAAAGACTTAGCTACTTTAATTTAATATGTAAATTTACATAGACATATTAAATGTCTATAACCCGTTCATTCATTCTGTTGTTTGAGACTCTACTTTTCAGACTTTGGTGTATAAATTTCATGATTTACTGTGTGAACCATCGTAAATTTTAAACGGATTTCTTCGATTATGAACAAACTACTTAACTTTGGTTATTATAAACTTACCTGTGTGTTTGTAATGAACTCCCGTTCGATAAAATCCATTGCACAACTAATTATCACAACGATGAGAACAAGTTCTCTCTTGAAAAATTTGAAAATTTACTTGTAATTTCGACAGAGTCGATGTCAACAATGTCTTCGTGACGTATTGGTCGAATCCAATATACCTGTTGCGGGGGTTGGTTAACATTGAAAGATAGTTTGACAGCGCGATCATTTTGATCGCATATGGGTTTGGCCGACGAAAAATATCAATTGAAGGCAATTACATAGGAGATTACATATGGAAACCATTGATCGCCAGTCTATCAAATTTTCTTCACAATTAAAATATCACTGATTGCACGGATACTCGTAAAAATAAAGTCATGTATAAACTATAAATATCCTATCTTCTTTATGTTATAAATTATTTAACAAGGATCATGAAGCTTACCTCCGAATTCTCTGAGTGTATTTTTAATTTTATACACATTCTTTCGATCGAATAATATCCGCTTCAGTAAAATCTTTAAGCGTGTTACGGCAGCGATCAGCGTGTCTATTGGGTGCCCGGGTGGGTATATAATGCTACTAAGCACGTATGACCCCGTAAGATACGGAACATTAATTCTCGATTCGACAGTTTTGACCGAAGTGTGATAAAGCCCGTAAAACGAATGTATAGTTGTGTTTGTGCGGCATGCGTGTTCAAAAGTAAATAATCCCATCCGAGTCACTAATCAAATAATTAGAACAAAATATTTCAAAAAGTAAAGCTATAAAATTTGCAGAGATTTTACTAGGATGTAAAAGACGGTAACTAAATACAGGAATGCGGGTAGTTATGTGTGCGAACGCTCAAACTCAATGCCAATTGTCGTAGGTATCCAGACCACTCGGACCAAAGACTACTCGGACTAAGACCAGTCGGACCAAAACAAGACCAGTCGGACCAATTAAATTATATTATAAGGCTAGACAATATGCTATTTATTTATTATGAAATCACAATACAAAGAAGCAAATAATTCTTATACGGAATTCTTATATTTAGAGTTGTTTAGTTCAATTTTGTGTACGGAAAATAAATCAACGATTAGTTTTAAAATTAATTAATAATGGTGCCAAAAAAAATTATCAATCTAATGAGACTCGGTATGTCCAGACTTTTGACAGTTTCTACATATACGGGTATACTGTTCTTGTCTGATAGCCTAATTTTACTTTTTCCACATTCGCGGTATCCCCAGTGGTTTCATTTCGTTCTACCCCACTAACCCCTGGGTTACTATATATGGGGGGGGGGGGGGACACGTTTTCAAGTTATCCGCCTTTGATGCGTTAATATAAACAGCACATAATAATACGAAGACCGGACGTTTATATGCCCCTTTTTAAACGTGACTACAAGTGTGGTTCTCGATATTTTGCGATTTGGAATACAATTATCAATTTATTCAAACAACACGTTATTATTAGTTCGAGTAGTCATATTAAAACACACTCAATTAGCAATTTATTCAAATAACACTTTATTATTGGTTCGAGTAGTCATATTAAAATAAACACAATTATCAATTTATTAAAATAGCACTTTATTATTGGTTAGAGTAATCATATTAAAACAAACGCAATTATCAATTTATTAAAACAACACTTTATTATTGGTCCGAGTCGTCTTTCTGTTGGGTCCGAATAGTCTTTTTGTATGGTCCGAGTAGTCTATTTGTTTGAGCTGAGTGGTCTATCAGTTGGTCCGACTGGTCTTGAACCGAGTGGTCTTTGGTCCGAGTGGTCATGGATTCTTGTCGTAATTGTACTTGAATTTCCTATGCTGTCACCCCTAATACGAAATGATATCTTCCGCAGAGTGACGTGACCATCTTCCATATTGGTATTTTTCTCTGGGCAAAGTTTGTGATATTTCAATTTTTCAAGAGAGAACTTGTTTTCATCGTTGTGATAATTAGTTGTGCAATGGATTTTATCGAACGGGAGTTCATTACAAACACACAGGTAAGTTTATAATAACCAAAGTTAAGTAGTTTGTTCATAATCGAAGAAATCCGTTTAAATTTTACCAAGACTCAGACAGTAGATTTCTATTTTTTTTCGGACAAATCAATCATTTGAGAAATTAAGGCACGTGTCACAATTCCAGAATCCATTGTTGTTTAATTTATAATAAAAAGTATCAAATTATATTTTGTTTATTGTTTGTTTCATGACATTGCTACCACTGCATCCAGTATCCGAACACTGTCTTTAAGCCTACATAATTCAAATTTTGTATTCATTTAATTTGACCATTTGTACACGTAAAATACAAGATATGAGGATACAATATAATTATTATAAAATGCCTGTTAAACATAGTGCAAAATGCTATCAGAGATGTCATAGCCAGTACCTGGATTTTCTTTGGATTCTCCTGATGTCTCATTTTCTTTCTCAGAATTTGTTCCTCGAATGGGAGCTGACATGTTTGTTTACGTTATGCATGATGGGAGTTTGTTATGATCTGATGACTTCCGGTTATGGCCGAGTAAAAGAAGTTTCGTTAGAGAATAAATGCCCCCTAAAGTGAAACTTAAATGAGAAAATGGCACTTGGCAATCTCATCGTATTGTCGCAGGTTACCTGCTTCATTTTGTCGTTTCTTCTTTCTTTTTTTGTGTTTGTGCCTGTCAGTATAAACAATCATGAATTCAACGGTCACTGTTTACTTCATGCAACAGGCAAATGGCATCCAGAGAGTAAACAGGCTAATATAGAATTAACTGACTTACATTGGGGTCCTTCAAGTGCCTGCAATTTTTCAGTATTTATTGGAGTAGTTGTTATGGTGACATCATTCTGTTATACAATATGGGTATCTATTTATTTGTTCAAAGGAACTGACAGGTAATAATGAAAATAATAGATTAAATTAGATCTGTTGTAAAATAATTTAAATTACCAGTACCGTAAAAAAGAAGTTAATCAATCAGGATTGTAGCTAAGACTAATAAAGAGTAAGACGATTATGATGATTCATGAGTGACATAAAATAATATATAGATATTAAGAGAAATTACCTTTATTCTCAACTCTGAATGTGCATTGTCGGAAACTCCAAGTAGGATGGGTTTTATAATTGTGTAGGCCTACTATTATTAGGCCCTATGGTACAGTACTCAATTTTGAAGTAGATGAGGCACATTTGAAAAATGGAATGTTTTGATGTTTTTATACGCCCACATTTTCATGTGGACGTATTATGCCGTTGCCCCTGTCCGTCCACAATTTGTTTGTGGACACTCTAGAGGTCACAATTCTTATCCGATTTTGACGAAACTTGAAATATAGGTTTATCTCCAAAAGATCTCAGCTGCTTTTGATATTGGCATGTATCGGATTGAAACTTCATGGATTATGGCCCCTGTGCTTTTTGTACGAAAAATCACGTTTTTAGGTTGTGGACCCTATAGAGGTCACAATTTTTATCCGATTTTGTTGAAACTTGAAATGTAGGTTTATAACCCAAAGATCTCGGTTCCTTTCAATATTCGCGCATATCGGACTGTAACTTCCTGAATTATGGCCCCTGATTGTACCAAAAATCGTGTTTTTAGCTTGTGGACCCTATAGAGGTCATAATTTTTATCCGATTTAAAAAACCTTTCAATTATATCACCGTTACACCCAAAGGTTGGCTGAGTTCGAATTTCGTGATAATCCAAAGATCTCGGTTCCTTTCGATATTTGCAAATATCGGACCGTAACTTCCTGAATTATGGCCCCTGATTGTACCAAAAATCGTGTTTTTAGCTTGTGGACCCTATAGAGGTCATAATTTTTATCCGATTTAAAAAAAACGTATTATTATATCACCATTACACCCTAAGGATGACTGAGTTTGAATTTCGTGAAAATCGGCCCAAAATTGACAGACAAAATGGCCGCCGTTCTTTCTGGAATAGCATAAGAATATGTTATATCAAGGTTGTGGACCCTATAGAGGTCACAATTTTTATCCGATTTTGTTGAAACTTGAAATATAGGTTTATAGCCCAAAGATCTTGGTTCCTTTCGATATTTGCACATATCGGACCGTAACTTCCTGAATTATGGCCCCTGATTGTACGAAAAATTGCGTTTTTAGCTTGTGGATCCTATAGAGGTCATAATTTTTATCCGAATTAAAAAAACGTATTATTATATCACCGTTACACACTGAGGACGACTGAGTTCGAATTTCGTGAAAATCGGCCCAAAATTGACAGACAAATTGGCTGCCGTTCATTCAGTTCCTTTCGATATTTGCGCATATCGAATTGTAATTTCCTGAATTATGGCCCTTGATAGTAGGAAAAATCACTTTCTTGTTAGCTTGTTCTCTATCTATCTCTCGAAAATGTGGGCGTATCCTGCCTGGCAGCCGCTGGTTATCCGATTTTGTTGAAACTTGAAATGTAAGTTTATAACCCAAAGATTTCGGTTCCTTTTGATATTCGTCCATCTCGGACCATAACTTATGGCCCCTGATTGTCCGAAAAATCGCGTTTTTAGCTTGTGGACCCTATAGAAGTCATAATTTTTATTCGATTTAAAAAAACGTATTATTATATCACCGTTACACCCTAAGGACGACTGAGTTCGAATTTCGTGAAAATCGGCCCAAAATTGACAGACAAAATGGCCGCCGTTCGATCTCAAATAGCGTAAAAATATGGTATATCAAGGTTGTGGATCCTATAGAGGTCACAATTTTTATCCGAATTATGGCCCCTGATTGTACGAAAAACCGCATTTTTAGCTTGTGGACCCTATAGAGGTCATAATTTTTATCCGATTTAAAAAACTGTATTATTAAATCACTGTTACACCCTAAGGACGACTGAATTCGAATTTCGTGAAATCAACCCAAAATTGACAAAATTTCCGCCGTTTGTTCTCAAATAGCGTAAAAATATGGTATATCAAGGTTGTGAACCCTATAGAGGTCACAATTTTTATCCGATTTTGTTGAAACTTGAAATGTAAGTTTATAACACAAAGATCTTCGGGCATATTGAATTGTAATTTCCTGAATTATGGCCCTTGATAGTAGGAAAAATCACTTTCTTGTTAGCTTGTTCTCTATCCATCTCTCGAAAATGTGGACGTATCCTGCCTGGCAGCCGCTGGTTTCATATTTCTTTAAGTTTTTCTTAATTTCATTTTCTTTCACTTTCAGTTCATGGCTGGATGCATTTATGACATTCATAGTCAGTGTTTTAGTGACTATTTGTCTATTTTCTACAGCTTTAACAATTAGTGGTGGATTTGCTGTATGGTGTAGTTTAGTTACAGATAAACTGTCAGGAATAGATAGGTGTGTATCATATTCAAGATGAATTTCTTTACAGGCCAATTTCGAAATACATAACCATTGAGAAAGAGAGAAATGGGATTTAATTTCCACTCAACCCACACTAGATCATTTCAGGACTAATGATATATTTTTAGGGAGAGGGTTTAATACATGCAGGCTAAGCCTATTCCCCAATTCGATTCAGATATCCTGAATAACAATATTGTTTTAAAAAATAATCTTTATTTTAATAAGTCAGGTTGTGTTCTTGAGTTTTTAAAAGTAGAAGACAAATAGACGACCAGAGAAAACCACTCTATGTATACAATACTGGGGTCGAAATCACAAAACTTGACTCGATGCGTAGAGTGTAAAAATATAAAAGTGCCATTTAAAACCACCATAAATGTCCACAGTCCTGACTGGTTTCGTCAAATAAAGTTTAACATTTTCAAAAGAACAGTTCAACAGAAACGAGAAGCAAATTTAAATAATTATGTCATCATCACCCTTGTCTGTCCGGGTACATGTACATGATATATTGAAATGTATTTTGGTTGTGGAAGTCAACTACATGTATACAATTTTACAAAGATTTACAAATAAGTTGCTTGTTTATCTTGTAGGTGTGAAATGGGTGATTATACAACATTTTTACCCAAAAATCTTAATATAGACAGTTCGAATTATTACATGGAATTTCAGATAGCTCAGGTAAATAAGTTGATTATTATAAACAATGTTTAAATATTTTGACAATGTAAAACGAGATGAAATAAATATATCATCAATATTGATTAATTTTGGTGCCACAAATGAGATCTCCTGGAAGTAAACACTTGATCTAGTCTACTCTGTTCTTTCTTATGGATGCCCCCCCGTAAATGGATGCTTGTGACTCTGCCCCTCACTTTGCATCATATTCATAATATATAATAAAAAGCCTTACCTTAGTAGATATTTCCCCCAATTATCATTGACACTGTATTTAAAAAGTTGTACTCCAAAAATTCACTACAATCATACATGCCAATTCTGCACCCCAACTGACTATCTTTTAGTGCAAACTCAGGTTGATTTGAAATTAGTCAGGCAAAACCAGTTTAATGATTGATCCCCGGCTGGATTAAAACAGCGGCCACCAGGCAGGATATGCCCACATTTTTCAAATGATGGATACAGAACAAGCTAAACAAAAAGCGATTTTTCGTAACATCAAGGGCCATAATTCAGGAAGGTACGGGAACCAAGATCTTTGGGTTATCAACATGCATTTCAAGTTTCATTAAAATCGGATCAAAATTTTAACCTCTAGAAGCTCCACAACCTTGATATACCAGATGTTTACACTATTTGAGTAGAGGGGCGGCCGTTTTGTCTGGCAGTTTTGGTTCGATTTTCATGAAATTCGAACTCAACCAACAATAATGGTGTAATGGTGACATATTCGAACGTTTTTTTTAAATCGGATAATAATTGTGACCTCTTGAGGGACCACAAGCTAAAACGCGATTTTCCATACAATCAGGGGCCATAATTCTGGAAGTTACGATCCAATATGTGCGAATATCAAAAGGAACCAAGATCTTTGGGTTATAAACATGCATTTCAAATTTCAACAAAATCAGCTAAAAATTGTGATTTTTCGCACAATCAGGGGCCATAATCCATGAAGTTACGGTCCAATACATGCCAATATTGAAAGGAACCAAGATCTTAGAGAGATAAACCTGTATTTCAAGTTTCGTTGAAATCGGATAAAAATTGTGACCTGTAGAGTGTCCACAAACAATTATGAACGGACAGACAGGGGCGACGACAATATACATCCACATTAAAATCCATGAAGTTACGGTCCGATACATGCCAATATCGAAACAAATCGAGATCTTAGAGAGATAAACCTATATTTCAAGTTTCGTTGAAATCAGATAAAAATTGTGAACTGTAGAGTGTCCACAAACAATTGTGGACGGACGGACAGGGGCGACGACAATTTACGTCCACATGAAAATGTGGGTGTATAAAAAAGTAATTTTCATACGTCCACATTCATAATGTGGGCATATATTGCTGTCGCCCCTGTATGTGTGTATCTGTGGTTCGCCTACAGGCCGCAATTCTTAACTGATCATCTTGAAACTTTACATACTTATTCCTTATACCCTAAGGATGATCCCTGTTGTTTTTGGTGCATGCCCGACCCCCAGGAGCAGAGCCACGCTTATCTCTTGCATTTGTTTGTCGTGTGGAGCACTCTACCGCTGTAACACATCTAACACCAGGGCAGTATGGACATTGGATAGGACTCACAATAACATTTTTGCAATCTGTATTTTTATTTACTTCCCATCAATCATTCTAATATACCTCTAAGACAAATAAACCAAAAAATCATGCAAAGATAGTTTGAAATAAACACCAAAATCGCAAAAGTGACTTTTTTAAAATATGCACAATCTAAAACTTTTATAATGTGGAATGGGAATTGAATAAATATAGTATTTGATAAATAAAAAGTACTAGTCAAATTACAATTTGTCTTCTGTGTGTTGGAGAGACTAGTTATGATTGTCAAGGAAAACATTAAAACTCTATTGATTCATACTAACGTCTTATGTAATATATTTAATTTTATCTATTACAGTTTGGAATATGGGGTTTATGGATGTGTTGGGTAGTTCTAACATTGTTGTCAATCATTAAATTATACCGCTACCATAAACAAGAAGCATTTTTGAAAAGTGTGAACCATCAGAGACAGCGATTATTACAGAGAGTGGGTCATTCTTCATCTTATTCAGGAGACTTATCTACTTGATCATTTTGTAATTAACAAATTAACCCTTTAGCACTTGGACCACTTGAAACTACTGCTCCCTCTACAGCTTGCGCACCACAAATCATCCGAGTCACATGAGTAGCTTTAAACCATTTAAAGGAGGCAAGTCTGTAACTCAATATCATCCATAGTCTTCGACATTGCAAACAGGACTTATTGGTCATTTTAAATCAATATTGATGCTGTTATCTTACCGAGAAAAGATGGGCTTCTGATATTCAATATTTAAGATAAAATGAAAATTTAAAAATTGTCACACGAATCGCATGGCAGAATGCTTTTGGGCACCATTTGTATTGAAGTGACTCGTTGAACGAGGCTTAACATACCCCACAGAAGAATACTGGAATAACCAGACGTCAAAGACTGCCATTCAATTTGGACTCTTTGTGTATTTCACCGAACGAAAATTACTGATTACAGTAAAAACAGAAATGATGGATTGTAAATCAGTTTATATACATCCATATTACATTATTATATGCGTTGCGACCCATTTGTGTCCATTTCTATGTGCCAGAGAATAGAGATTTAGCTCCTTTAAGGACTGTATTCTAGTTCTTTGACTTTCTAGATAGTAGTTTCTGCTGGTTTCGGAAATGAGCTACAAATTTTTTCAGAGAACGAGGGTAGTCTATATTTACTTGTCTCAAGTGCTATGGGGTTAATTCTCTCTTGCAATTTATTGATATTTCTGTTTTAGTCAAAATTTGAAAAGGGAGATAAATCTGTTCTGTAATATATAGATTTGTGTACCAGTACTGGTAATATTTTTGATTAACACACTTTTTTTAGAAAGGCATTTCATGATTTTTTTTAAAACTCTATCAAAATTGGACATTGGTGGAATACAGAAATGTTATTGACCCTTAATAAATTACTCACAGATTTTTGTAATCATTAATGTAGACTTTACATGCATCTGTTATACGTTTTTTAAATAATCATCAATTTTATAGTAACTTTAGGGCTTGGGCGAAAAACAATCTGCTTAACACATGACTTGGCCTTAACATATGTGCATGCACAGATCGTTCCCACATATTAACACTTGTCAACTAGGAGCATCTGTGAGAGGTGCTGTTGTGTGAATGAAATTCATGTACATGTAGCTAACATCTTTTTACTGGATTCTCAAGATATAGAATATATGGAATTGGTCCCCGACTTAAAATGAAAATATTATTACAGGTTTGGGTTGGGTTTTGATAAGTAGCATAGATTTGATATGAATTATATATCACTAGTCTTGTTATAGTCTTAATAATACTCTACACAATTCATCTTTATAAAGCAATAATTGGCTAGTACTATTAACATATTCGATTTGTCATACTACCTCTAGGCTCTAGTATTGTTTTAATGTGGGCTTACAAGACCAGATATTATAATATATTGCGTTCGAAATTGTTATAAAGTGTATGTATGTTTGGAACTGATCAAGATGTGATGCTTAACATAATGAATTTTATCTATTCTATTTAGAAAGAAGAAAAAATGTTATTTAACTTTATAAATGTTTTCTGTCATTTGGCACCTTCTCCTGTAAAGAACTGAAAATTGCATTAAAGATACATTAGTTAACAGTTTAATAAAGAGATGGCCATTCTGGCTATAATAATGCAAAAATAGATGATAAAAATATAAAATATTGAACATTTCAGTCAAATTACTTTGTTCTGAACAGAGTTGTTACTGTTGGAAGTTTGGACTAGAAATAGGCATTAACTGTGTCCGCACCGTCTACGAGAATTGCCGATCGTTTGATTGACAGACGATAACTCCACCCACATATTCTCGATTATCCAGTAACATACTCAATGGATATGTTACCCTCGCTTGGTAGGCCTTTCATCACCAGACGTCAGTGACTAACAGTAAATGTTAGCTTATTCGGTCATTTCTTGATTTAATTTTAAATGGACGACTGTTTAAATCCAAGCCATCCGAGGGTCTACATAGTTGATTTTGAGCTTGTCAAGTAAAGAAAGGTCTAATTGATAATTTCTATAACATCTGAAGCCTAAATAAAGACTTACAATAGGCAGATTTAGCTCTTGCATAATGTATGTTTAAGAAGTGAATTAATTTGTATAAAAGAAGTTTGGTGAGTTCAACCAGAAATACAGTGTTCAGAAATTATAAATAAAAAAAAGTACTGACTACCATTGCGAACTTAGAACAACACGAAGCAGCCACATGCTATCTGAAGCAATGTAGTTTGAGTTACTTTTCTCATTTCTGACACTTGATGGATAATTGTTGCCCTGAATGTTGGTATATTAGAAATCTTAATACTAAAGTAGATGTGGAATTATGTATGATTTTTATATACCTATATGATCATTATCCCTGTCTGTCCGTCCATATCTGAAATAGATTGTGGATGCTCTAATATTATTATTTATACAGTGTTTATAATCATGAGACAAAGTACCTATGGATTTTTTTTATAATTACTGTCAGATTACTTGTCTTGTAAATTCTCCCATTAAGCTACAAAAGAGTAGAAATGTGGCAACCTTTGTGAACTGCTGGGTTAACTTAGCTGCTGTGGGCGTATATATTTTATTGTCTGGCAACCATCCATTTATATTTTTGTATTTTATTCCTTTTCTCATGTATATAATGTGTAGAAACAAGATACTATTATGGGTGCCCCGCCAATTATATTATGCACAGGCGCCCATGATCTCGTTGTGGACAGCCCACCGATCTCGGCATTATAGGTGCCCCTCCGTGTTAAGGCACCCCACCAATCATGTTGTTTTGGGCACCCCCATTGATCAAGTCGTGGGCGCCAATTAATCTCACTCGGCATTATGTGCGGCCCGACAATCATATATTGTCATTATAAGGTGCACCACCACTCATGTCATTTTGGGTGCCCCTCCGGGATAAGGCACCCCACAGATCATGACGTTTTGGGCGCCCCTTTAATCAAGTTTGGGGGGGGGGGGGTGTGGCGATGGCCGAATAGTTACCATGTGCGCGCGCTGTATCATAAGGTCTGGCATTGAGTCAACTGGCGTGGTTTTGATTCCCCGGTTGTAGTGACAAGGAGTATGATCGCCTGTCCAACTTTGTGGGTTTTCTCCGGGTCCTCCGGTTTCCTCCCACTGCTAAAGACCCCTAAGCGAAAGTGAAATATTGAAATAAAATTGAACCATATGTTAGTCCCGAAATGACCTAGTATGTGTCAAATCTCTCTCTCTCTGATCAGGTTGTGGGCACCCAACCAATCTCTCCCCCCCCTCCCCCCGCGTAGCTATGGGCCTGCTGTTACATGTCTATTATGTATATTTTCCTTATGAATTTTCACCAATCAAACTATACTAGTGTCAGTAAAATAATACTTTAACAGGCATTTATGTGTTTTTTCATTTAATGGTATTAAATTCAGTATATATTTCTTGTATATTATGTATATTTCGAGTGTATTATGTATATTTCATGTGTATTATGTATATATTTTTTGGTATATATTTCATGTGGGAGTAGGTCTATTGTATTGTGGTCACACCTGTACAAGGGTTCTTTGTATGGTTTTTCTTTCAATGATTTGGTGAGATTTTTCAGCTAATCATAAAGACAAACTCCATTCAAATTCATCTGAGTAACAAAAATTCATATTATAGAGAGTTATGTGGGATATTTTTTAAAAATATGGTAGGTTGGTCGACTAATGCTACTGATTGAAAAGCAGAGTAATGAACAGGTTTTTCATACAGTTATTGTCCATGTCAGTGGAACCTTGAAAATACTCAAAACTTCAATATATCTGAAATTGAGTTCCTGCTACATTGAATAATACAATAACATACATGTCTTTGTTTATTCCCTTCACAATCTGCATGTAGGCGTATATTTGTTTCCTGGTAATTTATATTCAGCCAAACGATCCATGTCTGATTTCATTCTATAATTATAATCACATATTATCCTAACAGATGTGTATTACAATATAGTATAATAATGTTTACTTCCTATATAAAATATTGAGTTGATTTTATCAAGGCATTCCATTCCTGTTTAAAAGGACACAATTGCCAGATTTGAATGTCTTCAGATGTGTTAATTATACATTTTATTCTGTAAAGTTGAATAAAAAAAAATATAAATTGTTTTAAAATTATTCAAATATGGTACATTTGAAATTCAGCGAGATCTGTATACCCTTGGAAATCAAAGAGATTTAGGCAGAAACCTCAGTGTCGATGAAAATTCTTCTTCTCTCTAGCATTAAATAACTATTCTCAGTGTGTGTTGACAGAGGTTATCAAATCAAAGAGATGTAGGAACCAGTACTAGTAGGCAGCAACCTCACTGTCGATCAAAATCTTCTCTCTAGCATTAAAGATGGGTTCCCGCGTACAAACTGGGTGATTTAATGGTATATATGGACTAAAAACATATTCAAACTAATTAATTTGTCATAACTTTGCTTCAAATCCTTCTCAAACATTGTAATTTGCGAAGGAATGTCCTGCTATAAAAATTTGATCAAACCAGGCCATGTTTACGTCACGTGACTTACCTCTCTTGGAAGTCAAAGGAGAATTCATTGCATAAATAAGACGATGTTGTCTTTAATCGCTTACTATTTATTACAAATATCGAATCCTAATTAAATTCTCGGATTATCCACTACCCGCGTCTTTTTCCGTCATTTTTATCGCAGAAAGTGTTGTACGTCTAACTCTTCATAAAGTTTATCAACTTGTACATCAAGCGCTCAATGTTTGCATATGACCTTTGACATCACGCGTGCAGAAATTCCTAATAGTCGGGCCGTTGATTAGGGGAACCCTTACATTTTTGTCCTGTATACGCTCCATGAGTGATTTTCTGGGAATCCATTATTTTTCTAGTAAGATTGGATATCTCTACTTTCCATATATACCAAAATTACCATACTTTTATTGGAAATAACCACCCAATAAATACTTTTCTGGGAACCCAACTTTAAATAACTATTCACAGTGTGTGTTGACAGACGTTAAATCCCATTCCATTACTAATACACTGTTACAAAAAGCACTATTTACCGCTGTATATTCCATGTATATTTCATATACTGGTATTTACAGATAAAGTGGAAAGATTGAAAATGTGACTGGATGATTGGAAGTCCGCAATATCATTCATTTCCGCTCTTGATTTATTTTTAAAAACATAGAAAAAATACAGGACTTTTCACAAGGAACAAGTTCCAAATACCGGTACCATTTTAAAGCGATGTCTTTTATTTATTTATTGACAGGACATGCTTCAAAATATTTTGATGTTACTCAAACTTTTATTATTTACCTCTTGTAGACTGCCAGGGGTGGGTGTGAGAACCGGAGGTGACTCGTTCTGAAGAGCTCTAGCGACGTGGCGTGCGGTGACCGTCTTATCAGAAAATTTTGAAAATTACATCGCCCTAGATGAGATATAGAGCACTTTTCTGTTGGTTTAAAACACACTGGAAACGGTGATTTCTTTGCCCAAATCTGACGAAACAATATGTGAGGGATAGTATGCCCGCACTGCGTTGTCTTCGAGTATTCTTTTACCAGATCCTTCGTTCGAAACCCCGTGTAGGCCGATAAAGTCCCTCTTGAATTTCCGGCGTGGTTTCCCATTGTCAATGGTCAAGGGCAGAATCCTGGCAATATGAATAGAATTGAGTCACTAGGATGGGACGAAAACCCGATGTTGGAAATCGAAATGGTAGTAAATCGTGGCCAGGCAAAATTTTCCTTATAGCACACTGTGTATGTCCGTCTTCATTATCCTGGTTGGTGCAGAAAAGTACAACATCAAACCCCATTTCATATATATTCACCTCGGAGAAAAATAAGGGCTACATATTTATTGTACATGAAACATCTGACATTTTCTCCGTGGCAAAAGTGTACACAGAGGTGAGGTTACTTCAGTTGTAAATGCTAAATTAAATTTAGGAAAAATTGATTCGTGTGCCTTTTGGCTGGAAATAGAGAGAGAGAGAGAGAGAGAGAGAGAGACCTTTCACTCGCGTCAAGGGGGGCCCTTTTCTACGAATCTGAGGCCCCTGTACACGACTGGGGGCCCTGTCTAAGGGGAGGTCATGTCAAGTTTTCTTCCCCGATTTGACGTTTTCTTTCAGTTTTCTTTTTGGAACTCTTCAAAAATATTTCGGGGCGGAGGCTGCCTCTGGGCCTCCGCTATAATATGCTTCTGTACAGTGCATTTAAAGAATAGGACTCATTTTATAATTTTGAGGCAAGTCCCTAACTGAATATCATCCACCGTCTTCGACATTGCAAACACGACTTATTGGTAAATTTAAATGCAAGAGTTAAATCTGTCGATCTATTACAGGTCTTTCTTTAGGCCTTAAATATTATCTAATTAATTATTAATTTGACATTAATTAACTTATCAATGTAACATCAACGTGTGCCATAATGGAAGCTTTATTATTATATTAGAGTGTCGTAATACATTAGACCAGTGATTCTCAACCAGTGTGCTCTAAGTGTGCCGCGAAATTTTGAACGGCACACTAAGAAAATGCGAAAACCCACACGTGCCCAATTGAGTATTCACTGGTGTCTACTGATATTGAGTTTGAGTCATTCTATGTTTCTATGACTACCCTCTGCCTACTTTTGTATGCCGTCTGACTTACCATGTTTTTATTTTGCAAAATTCAAATATTTTTCATATATATTTAACCAGGTGTGCCGCTAATTTGTCATGTGTTCCAAGGTGTGCCGTTGGTCAAAAAAGGTTGAGAACCACTGCATTAAACAAAAGTGAGTGGGTCTTAGGGGTCGTAGGTCGTACGCCATACAGTGTACTATGAGGGAAATTTTGCCCGGACAGCGCACTACGACCTACTCTTCTTATATCGAATTCCAACTGTCAAGGGATCTTTTACGTGCACCCCAATGTGTACACAAACGGTTTTTCGTCCCACCCGAACGACTAGACAGCTGTCATTGTCAGTGCGAGGGGGTGACCACCAAATGGAAACAAAACCAGACCCAGCTTTTCTATAGTTTTTTTTTTTTTTTTGCGTAGAATACGATGCCGAGCTGTTATCAGTCCGCCGTTGGGGCGTTTTCGAGATATTCGGGGTCAAAGGTCAAAATGAGGCCATTTAAGGTGAAAGTGAATACGCCGCCATTCTTGTATCATGAAAATATGCTGAAGATGATCGAAACTAATCACCCTTTCATTAAAAATGTAAACTTGCAAAATTCACCTGCATGCGTTCTTTGTGACCCCAGGTGTCAAAGGGTCAAATTTTCCGTTTTTGCACCAGGGAGATTTAACACAATACAGCGTAAAATATAAAAATTATAGAGAAACCTGTTCTAATTAATAAAAATTAAAAGGAACATTTAAAATTTATCTTTAAATGGTGTTTCGTCTCATCCGAACGACTAGACAGCTATCCTTGCCCGACCCTCAATCCTGCATCACTGACGAGGGGGAACCACGCCGGAAAATCTGGATGAATTATCTCGGCCAATGCAGGGATGGAACACCTGACCTCCAGACTAGCGAACCAGCGTCTTACCCACTTAGCCACCGTGACCCCCTCATAAGTGGACTATAGACGAAAAGTATTGAAACCTTAAAAGGTATATCAATGTTAAAGTTCTAAAGAGATGTACAATTACACGTTTCCTGTAAATTGTACACAAATCCCGTATTTAAACATGTTTGAATAGTAGAATTACCCATAAAAAACAGTTAAAGTACAACATACATGTACTTTTAACCAACATAGTGATCTCTATTCTCAGGGTACGAAACGTGGAATTCTTATCGCGGAGCCATTGGTTGCTACAGCAAGTCCTAGTTTTATCACTGTAGCAACGCCGATGCATCGAAAATTCCTTTGCTATCAGGTCAACACCCAAAATTGCCCGCTTCATTATTTAATCGTGCCTATGATATTACCGGAAATCCATGCGGCTAGTTTACATTTTTATTGAAAGAGTGATAGTTTCGATCATTTTCAGCTGTTTTCATGATACAAGAATGGCTGCGTATTGACTTTCAGTGTAAATGACCTCATTCGGCCTTTGACCCCGAATATCTCGAAGATGCCCCAACGGCGGACTGATTACCACTCACGCAAAATTTTACTCTAGAAAAGTTGGGTCTGGGTTTGTGCCCATTTGATATCCCAACCCCACCCCAACCCCCGTTCTGAGCCACCGATCTAATAGTCAACTCTCTATTCCATCGTTAGCCTGCGATATTTAGTGGATTTGAATACGGTTTGTGATGGATGATTTATCGTAAAGATGGATAATCGCGACTTTGTTTATCATCGTACCAACGATAGTAATGGCGATCGCGGCTAGCCTAAAATTGAATGACTACTATCTGGGTTCAGAGTGTGTAACACTTTGGTCCTTAAGACAATTTTGGTTCTTTGAAATTGTTGCTTCACTCTGTCTATAGAGTCACTTAATGAACGTGACTATAATATATGTAGAACATCCACAATTATATGTATAAACCCATCTAGTTATTCGCGAGATCTATTATCACCCATTACCCTAGATGCAATAAATTGTATCGAGTAAACTAGTTTCAAATGCAAAATTCTCAACACATATCCCAGTTTGCATGGAAATAAGTAATTATGTTACAAATAGTTAAAGGAGCTAAATCGCTAATATTTTGGCCGAATGGTTAGCACGTGCGCGCTGTATCACAAGGTCTGTCATTGAGTCAACTGGCGTGGTTTCGATTCCCCTGTCCAACCTCGTGGGTTTTTCCGGGTCCTCCGGTTTCCTCCTACTGCGAAAGACCCATACGCGCAAGCGAATTATTGAAATAAAATTGAACCATGTGTTAGTCCCAAAATGACCTAGTTTGGCCGAATGGTTAGCACGTGCGCGCTGTATCATAAGGTCTGTCATTGAGTCATTTGGCGTGGTTTTGATACCTCGGTTGTACGTGACAAGGAGTAGTGTCGCCTGTCCAACCTCCTACTGTAAAAGACCTCTACCCGCAAGCGAATTATTGAAATAAAACTGAACCATGTGTTAGTCCCGTAATGACTTAGTTTGTGTCGAGTGGAATACACATGGGACTCAAATAATGAGTTTAGAGACTCATTTTTGTGACTCACCCAAAAATCCATAAAACGACTGTTAAGTGAGTCAAGTGACTCGTCTGGTAAATTGAGTTCTTTGACTACTTTACATTGCCGTAATGTATATACAAAACATCAACACTTTTAGTTCATTTGTTTGTGAAACGTAAAAACAGGTTTGTTTAACTACTTTCTGCCCCCTAACATACATCGAGCCTGTACGCTAATTTAAACAGATAAGCTTTCGCTTTAACTTTAAAAGGTCAATCTTTTTTATAGTTTGGAGAATAATCCAGCTTAATTTTGTGTTAAAAGCCCTTACAATCATCTACCTTATGGTCGAGCAACTAACTCAATATACGTGATACGTTTTCAAACAACTGGAAATGGAGACCGGCGTCCCAAGCTGTATTATACGGTGTTTGGATAAAACCAGACTTTATTTTATAAAAATAACGCGTAGGTGAAATTTACCTTTTGTTATCAAGCACAACACGTGCTTCGTGCACTGTATAGACCTCTAAAGGAACGGCAATAGATTACCATTCACCCAACGAAAAAACTGACCCGAAATCTTAAAAAAGTTACGTGTCCGGATAAGTGGTTTTGACGTTCACGTCCAAACGACTCAATGAGACAAGGTAAAAATACACCATGCATCTATACTTTGGTGCTTAAATTTAATACGTACACTGACATTTATTTCTGAGGGTCTGTAAAATCGGGATGGTCCCTTTAATCACACTGAGCTTGTGCCATCAGTCACTAATCGAAATTACGCATCAGATCAACTTTTGAACGTCGTCCCTGCTTAGTTTATAACGTCAATGACCGCAAAGTCATGGACCCATTATAGGGCTGACAATCTGAAAGTCTTAATTATAAGTTATCAGCCATTATCAGTCTGAGTATTGCTCCGGACACTCACCAATATTTCAGTGTTAAAATGCCACTATAATACCTATGTACGTGTATATCGACTATAATTAACGAAGCAGAAATCACTCATCAAAACAAATTTAACCGATAAAAAAAAGTTATTAAAATTCACTATCTAAATTTAGTAAGCCCGAATTGCAGGAAGGTAAATACTATGTGAGCAAGACGACAAAAACATGTCATAAATTAGTATGGATGGAAAGTTCTAGGTCAACAACTTGTTTACATTTGATCCGCATACTTTAGGTAGACTTGTTTCTTATCTCATAGTACAAAACCACTCAGGCAATACCACTCAGTCACGTGTGGGCCTGTTCTTATTTAAACCCCCAATTTTGAGTCAGTCATAATAGAATAGAGCTCACCATGATGTGTGTATAGTTACGGTTAGGTTACCCATATGGAAACAAAACTAATATTATCTTATATAAAATAGTATACATGAGACAATGCTGATTGTATATTAAACTTATGTTCATTGTACATTATTGCTTATTTATTTTTTTAATGTCCTGTTTAGTACAGGATGTACATAAATTTAAACTGTATTATTATATGAAAGTTCATTATACGCGGAGGGTAAATAAGAAATCCACTAATTGCACTGTAAATTTAATAATATTGTATTAAAATAATCAGCTATGGGTACCTTATCGACATTTGAAGTTATTATATTCAATCACAACGGAGTGTGTGAACCTGGTGATAAATTGGAAGGGGAGGTTATCGTTGAAAATACTCGCCCTATGAAAATTAAGGGTAAGTTTTTTTTTATATTTCAATTTGTACTTTGATACTTTGATAGCCTAACTGCCTAAACATGTTTTCTTCGCTGACACACACATAGATTTAATATGTTATCTGCATTGCATATCATACAGACTTCATAGGGGAGAAAGAAAAACATGGACTTTAATATCATCTTTGTTTCTCAGCAAAGTACCCCACAAAAATATGTGTTTCGACATCTTGCAAGATTTTGTCGATGAAATCACAACTTGTTAAAATTTCGATTTAAGTCAGAACAAATCGCGTTAAGAGATTATGTTAGAGCTAAGACCTGTGTAAAAGGTTAAAGCTATTAGGCTGTCAACTTGGCAACTTGCCATTATGAGTAGATAAGCCGTGCATTCTTGTTAATCATTAATAATTGCCTTCGGTGGTCATTAATAAAAGAGCAAGAATATACCGCAAATTTAAAAAGTATAGGCCCTATCACCCTGGCGTACACCTTATTATGTAGGACGCGAAATTCATTACCAGTTACGACAAGACTGTTCGCGTTGTCATTTATCCCAATCAGAATGTAATATACATATATATATATGTATAACTGAAGCCACAAGGCGTTACGATTTATAAATTGTCACAGTAACTTTAACTCGAAAGCACTTGGGTTTTGTGAAATATAATAATGTAACACAGCGAAATATAATACGGAGTGTAAATTCGCCATTCGAATGGCGAATATCCTAGAACGATAAGGATGGTTATTCGCCATTCGTTAAACCTAAAATTCTTGTAGATTGTTTGTGCTTTTATTGAAAATACAGACCCAGAATCCCCTCTTTAATTGTTATTTGAAGCTTCACAATGAAAACAGACACCGAGGAAGCTTCCTTCACACATTGTGTGTAGATGGAAATGGCATGCATGTGAAAAGTTCCGTACTCTATGAAATTTTCTTTCTTAACTATTAAACTAATCCAGAAACATTGAAAAACGCATTTATTTGCACTTTTGTTGATAACAAAGTAAATGAAATACAAACTTAATCCAGTTTCATTCTTGTCGAGCGAAAGCAGCAGGAGCTTATTTTTTTTATTTACCACCCGTATATTTCTTCCATTTCAAAACGAGTGTTTTATTGGCCTCTCGTTTTCATTTGCTACCCATAGCCTACATTTCTTTTCGAACCGTGTGTTTTATTGTCAAACATATAATTCATTTACAATACTAACCACATAGGCGTACGAGCCATGGATGAGGAGGCGTGGTGTGGGGGTGGGGAGCTGCCCCTCATTTTCGGGAAATCAAATTTTGCATGGAGATGGGTAAGGTAAAGTAAAAAAATATATATATAATATTTTATGGGAGAAATACATAATGTACCCGAAATTCGATGATTTCTAGGTAATAATAAAATACTAATTTTCCATTTATTTAAATTGAGTACGGCAAATTTGTAAAGTAAAAAAAAAATATATAATATTTTATTGGAGAAATATATAATGTACCCGAAATCCGATGATTCTTAGGTAATAATAAAACACTAATTTTCCATTTATTTAAATTGAGTACGGCAAATTTGTACTGTGTTTGCTACGGATTTAAACATTTTGTCGAAAGACACTCTTTTGCGACATTTCTTGGCATCGATCATTATTTGTATCATCATCCTTTCGGGAATCGTAACTTCTTTAAATTTGGTATACAGTTTAGAACATTTAAAATCAGTTTAATAAACAGTGACATTTTTACGGGAATCACCAATCTTTGTTTGGACGACCGGGAGAAATCAGGAGGACCGAGAGAAAACGCACGATGTTCGACAAGCGACCACTAATGGCAGTAAGAAATTAAATATTGGGACAATATTGGGCGAACATATGAAACTGAAATTAGAATGTCACAAACTGTTTAAGTGCTGAACCCCACAAAGTGTCCCATTCTTCCAATGTTAGGAAATGAAATGGGGTTTAAGGTTTTACTTTTCTGCTAATGAAGACGGGCATTCGCCACGCAGTGTTCTATGAGGGAAATTTTGCCTGAACAGCGGTCCCATTACAGCCTACTCTTACATCTAATTCTAGCTGTCGAGGGTTCTTTTACGTGTACACGGGACCACCCGAACGACTATGTTGTCGCCTGCCAGACACCCCGTCTTGCATCACTGATAAGGAGGAACCACGCCGAACATTCTACACCAACATTGGGTATCATCATTTTGACGGAGTACTGGGTGCTGAACCCACAAGGTACCCCACCCTTCCCATGTCATGTTAGGAAATGCAATGTCTGCTCGGACTCGGCTGTTGTAGACGGACATACGTCCGTACAGTTTGTTATGAGGGAAATGTTGTCTGAACAGCTGCGGTCATATTACAGTCTACTCTTACATCGAATTCTAACATATACACGGGATTTCCGTCCCAGCCGAACGACTATACGTTGTCCCTTGCCAGAACCTCCGTCTTACATCACTGATATGGGGGAGCCACGCCAGAAAATCCAGATTAGCGAGCCACTGAGCCACTGACTGAGAAACCGCCCACCCCATATTAGGTACGTGGGTTGGAAGGGGCGTGTGTGTGTGTGTGTGTGTGTGGGGGGGGGGGGGTTAACGCGTACGCCTTGGATAAGGTCTGTCATTTAGTCAAGTGGCGTGGTTTTGATTCCGCGCTTGTACATGACAAGGAATAAGGCCGTCTGTCAAATCTCGCTGATTGCTAAGCGGAGGGTAGGGGGGTGGATGGCCGAATGGTTAGCACGTGCACGCTGTTTCATTAAATCAACTAGCGTGGTTTCGATTCCCTGGTTGTACGTGACAAGAAGTAGGGTCGCCTGTCCAACCTCATGGGTTTTCTCCGGGTCCTCCGGTTTCCTCCCACTGGTAAAGACCTCTACGCGCAAGCTAATTATTGAAATAAAATAGACCTAGTTTGTGTCGAGTGGACGTTAAACCCCATCAAGGGCGTGAATTTATCATAACTTTGGGGGGGGGGGGCGGACGAACCCTGGAATCTGGAACATTTCATTACCAAACGAAATAAATAATTACAAACAGTTTACTGTACCAGTGTTATTTCGATGAAGGCTGTAACGAGGTATGATGATAATATGGAAAAATGAAGTTAAGTGAATCTACGATCAGGGCTGTTCTCTTTGAATATCTTGGCGACATGAAAGGGGTCATTATGCACCGCACACGCCATCAAGTGGCTCAGTCGGTTTTGCGTCATGGAGTTGCGCAGCCAAGTTTTATACGGAGCAGAGTGCTGAAGAATCACTCGGCTGAGCAGGAACTAGCAGGGTTCAGCAGTGTGAGATGAGAAGTGCTTCGGCAGAAGGGAACGTCTGCCTCACTCCAGGTGACATAATGAGGAACGCTTCGTGCACAAGTGAAATAGATTTGGCCGAAAACAGGCGCTTGAAGAATGGCAATTCTTGTTCCAAGTCCCGATTCAGTTCCAGATACATAGAAACAAGCTCACCATCATGTGGATATAAACCTAAAAATATGTTCTGGCGATCAAAATAATGGGGGTGGGGAGATAGAGACCTATTCGTCCCCCCCTTCCGATTCTATGGGGGGAACGTGCCCCCCCCCCTAAATCCACGCCCATGGACTCCATCTCTCTCTCCCATCTGCTAAGCGCAAGCGTATTATTGAAATGAAATTGAACCATATGTTAGCCATTCAATGGTCATATAGCGTTTGTTTTAGTAGTTATTTTCGCATATGTTTACTGCAACGAAAATGATTTAGGCCTATGTTCATTTTGTAGGACGAACTTAAACTATTTTAAGTGTTTGGTAGCATTACCTCTTGACCAGACAACGTGACAGGACAGAGAATATCGATTTTAAAAAAAAGAATGGCAAATAACGTAAATGAATGACGAATAACTCATGTCTTTGCCATTCGAATGAATGGCGAATATCCTCTGTAAATATAATATCCTATATATAGTTCAAGGATTTTATGCACACAATTTTAAAAATAAAATTTTAATTACTATGACTAAAGATTGGCTAACCCACATACTGTTATCAGTTTAGCATAACTGCATGAATTGACATTTATTTTATCTATATCAAGTTAAACCTTGAAACTTAATTTATGACGATATTATAATTATGGTATCTGGTACCATTCACGAATCGTGGCAGAGTTGACATTGAACTAGAGATATGCGAATACAATTCAAATGGCACATTGGGTTGTTGTTGAAATTAGACTGTATTTGAAACCGTTTTGAATTTCAATTTACAATTAATACGTATATAAATTATAACACTTCTTTTCACGGAATTTAACAAACGATCAGTATTATGCCTTACTGTAAACAAGTCAAAGCTTGGATTTTCCATTCATTGGAGAGTCTAGTGTTATTGTTATAAAACTGACTGCAATTTTTACTTTTTATGGATAACAATGGGTGCATTATTTAGTCAGTTAACAACATGGAAATGCACTCAGTGGAAGAAGACGTAAATTAATAATTAAAAAAAAAGGAGAAGAAAAAAGTGTAATATCTCCCAGGCCTCAAAATTCTGGAGTGGTCGTTTGTTCGAATAGGGATATCGGTTAATTGGTCTATGTGTCCGAGTAGTTTCAACTTAGTTCAACAGAGACGCTATGTTATTCTTCATTTTAAGTTATATATTTGACACGCTCAACGTGGATATTAAGGGTGGTATAGCATCTTCAGCAAAGAAAATTGTATGTTTATCAACCGATAAAACGGTTTTACAGGTTTTTGCTTTGCAGTCGGTCTTAACGTCCCCTTCCATACTGGGTGATATCGCAGACATTAACTAATTAACTTTGTCTCGGTGATTATAATTATGTAAGGCCAAACGGGTCAAAGTTGATCATATTAACCACACTATACAGCCTCCATTCACGAGTGTTTCGTCAAATGCAGCTCAGTCTAAACTTGAATCGATATGAAATTGATGATATTTGTTCACAAATTTAAAATATTATGTAGCAATTCTTCAATATAAAGTCTCTTAAGTTTAAATTGTCTTAAAAAGAAAATATCATTTCAAAATTTTATTGCATGGAAACTTTAAAAAAAAAAGAAGTCTCGGTCTCTATACATTATTACACCAGAGGGCGCCCGCCACCCAGATTCGAACAGAGGGGAATCTGGTAGTCGAAGTAAGCAAACATTCCTTGCTCCAACATATTTATACTTACTATTTTAATAATAGTTTATTATATTGAAATGGTATATAATCTATATTACAAGGAAATAAAAAAAAACTCTAAATTATTACGGCAAAGATATTAAAGTATGGCGCACTAATAACATCCAGACTATATATATAGCTTTGGTGGATCGAAGATGTTTTTTGCCCCATTGGCAGATGAATAAGCAATACATATGCTACAATTCATTAATGTTCGATGTGAAATTTTCGAATTTCCCGGGTTCTAGATAAATTTGTACGTAGAATAAGCAAAATATAGACCTACGTAAAGTTGGGTAAACGTTCGTGTGTACGTAAATAAATCCCTGCCGTGGTCCAGTCAAAAATCTCCCTCATAGCATACGTCTGTTTAAATTACAGGGGCAGGGTTTTCAGCAGAGACAGAAATTTCAGATCTAATTATTGAAGTGACAATTCGCGCTTATGGTGCCTGACTCAAAGAAAATTGAACGCTGTAGATGCCATTTACTACGGATTTAAATATTTAAGTTTGGATCTATAAAGTCACGCAGTGACAAATCAGTAAAAATAAATGAAATAACTTTAGATATCGTTTAATAAGCAGGTGATATCACCCACGTCATCCACTGGCGATAAGAGGTGATTACTGATTATTTTATTTGATTACAAATTACCGGTATTGATACTTATTTGTATGACAATATCTGCAAATCCTGTTATTGTTTAAACAAAGGGTTGGTTTTGGATTAGCCAATTGGCAATACGCAGGTACGATTGTTTGTGACACGGAAATGTCACACTAGCGAATATCTTATTGATTTTGGTTAGTAATTATGTGATAACCTATTAATCATATCCTTTATTTTGAAAAACAAATGCGAATCACAAATGTTTGTTTAAATGTTGATTATAATTTGAATTATTTTTTTTTTATCTCAAATGGTTATCTTTTTTTTTTAAATGTTATTATTCCAGTCACACAAATGACAGAAATGTACAAGTGATAATACGCATCTAAGATAAAACGCCTTATACAAAGTCATGTGCAGGCTACATGTCATTTACATACAATGTATGTTGTATTTTGTTGTTATAGCTAACACTGGTCAAATGTGCTTGTTTACTTCACCGCAACCATAAACCTGTCCAAAGAATACGTCAACCATACATTAAGCACTCACTTTATACTTTCATATTATCAAACATATCTTGGATGAATTAAAACTAGACACAGCTACGGGCTATCAGATGGGCAACTTTTGTAAACAATCTATCTTTTAATGGCTTTTAGACACAACAATAACCCGTAAACTCTCCAACAATAAATATTTTGTTATGTTTCAGTTTTTTATTTTGTTTACACCGAAGAAAAAACACAACATTCCGACCGCAAGCATTTCGAATTTTGGGAACTTAAAGCATTGTCATTGTCATAAAGAAAATAAATCAAATTAATTTTGAATTACATGTATATCATTATTCCAAATAACCCTGGGCTCTCATAATTATCACCTCAAATCAAAGAACAGACATACTGATTTTAAGCTTTTGTTGAACTCTTTGCAAACCATATTGAGTTCGAAATCGTATACAGTTCTACAGATTTGTCTCACATTTTGAATATACAAAATGAACATTCGCGATTTAACTGTATACGGCTATGTTTTTTACCAATCGGCCAAGACCCCAAATTATCGCGGTTGGTGCAGAGAAGTAGGGTCTTAAACCCCATTTAATTCATTCATTATTCCAAAGCTCAAAAGCCTCTGTAATAGATATAGTTCTATGCTGTTTTAAATGGCCCATTATAGTCACATAAAGATTTGGACGTAAATTGTTTATCCATGAAAATAATGTCTTTTGGGAATAATAATCATAGTATACTATTCAAAAAAAGTAGGGGATATTTGATTTTGGGGGCATAATACTAAAATATGCAAATGATTACGAAAAAAGTCACTATAGAACCTAACAGAAGAAACATTTCCAGTTACATGTGACGCCCAAACGCACCAATAGCTACCGCATGGAATGCAGGTGATGCTTGGGATCATCATGGGGGTCCAACCCAAGATTTGCACGACTCTGACTTTGAATGTTACAGTTATTGTGGCATTGAATTCCAGGGTGGAAACATCAGTTTAATTGTTTTAATGACCAGAAAACAAATTTTGATATGCGTCGGCTTACCCAAAATGAAAGGTTACGTGCCCTTGGCATGCTACAGATCGGCACAACACAGGCGGTTGTGGCGCGGACGATGAATGTTTCTCAGTCTGTCATAAGCAGGCTATGGTCCAGATACCGTGATACACAATCTGTACAGGACAGACCACGCTCAGGTCGACCAAGGGCGACAACTCAAGCCCAGGATCGATTTATCCGTACCTTGGCCTTGAGAAATCGTGTCATCACAGCAAATCAGATCAGCGCTCGTCTTCAAACAGACACTGGTGTGAGAGTGAGTGGCCAGACGATTCGGAATCGACTGCATAGGGGTCACCTTCGCGCCCGACGTCCTCGCGTGATCCCTTGTTTGAGAGATCATCACATTCAGGCAAGACGTCGTTGGTGTAGGGATCGTCAACACTGGGATAATCGACGCTGGAGCAATGTGATGTTTTCAGATGAGTCAAGGTTCACTGTTGATTTTTGGACAGACGTAGGAGGGTGTGGCGTCGTCGAAACGAGCGCTTCCAAGACGTTAACGTCATCAGACATGATCGATTTGGGGGTGGTTCTGTTATGGTGTGGGGAGGCATCACTGTTGCTGGAAGAACGGCTTTACATGTTGTTGCAGGGCGTGTTACAGGCCAGTACTACCGGGACAACATCTTGGCAGTCCATTTTGTGCCGTTCGCACGACGTCATGGCCGCCGTTTCATCTTCCAGGATGACAACGTAAGATGTCACAGGGCCAGGATCGTTACAGGTTACCTCCAACAACAGAACATCACCACATTACCTTGGCCAGCACTGAGTCCCGACCTCTCCCCAATCGAGCATGTCTGGGACATGCTTGGACAGAGGTTACGTCAACGTCAACAACGTCCTGCCAATGTCCAAGAACTTGCTGCTGCGTTGCAACAGGAATGGGACAATCTGGACCAAAATGACCTTAGACGTCTCATTAGGAGTATGCCACGTTGGATCAATGCTTGTTTGGCAAACAGAGGAGGATTTACCCGTTACTGACTTGGTTGTGATGCTGTGGTAACTTTGCTGTTTGACCCCGGGTATCATTTTACCCTTATAATGGCCAGTCTGTGCCTTACTTAGTCTAACGATCATTTGGAATAAATCGATGAATGTGAACTTCATTTCATTTTGTCATTTGTTTCTTCGTCAGTTTCATTAGGTGACTTTAATAACACTTAAAAATCAAATATCCCCTACTTTTTTTGAATAGTATATTATAAGTTAGTTCTCTCGCCCGATACCCATTGTTGGATGGGCTCGGGACTACATAATATACACATGAAAAATATAACGGTTCTTTCTTTTGCTACACTTGCAAGGGAAAAGCTAGAAAATATTTAACACCGATTTAACTACTATTTGTTTATATGGGGGACAATTTATCTTTCACCCGTGAACATGATGGTATAATACAACCAATCTGTCCTACAATTCGTGATACTTTGGCATTTATGCTGAATTCTTAATCTTTGTTCTCAATGACCCTATTTGACCGATGGTTCCAAACAGATATTCACTAAACATTGTGTAATGAGGGCAATTTTGCCAGGACAGCGACGTTACCGCCTAGTCGTCTCGAGTTCAAATTGTCACTGATTCATTGACGTGCCTGCCAATGCTACCTGGGACCTTAGTTTTTGGTTGCACCCAAATGACTAAAGACTGTTCCTTGCTAGGGCCCTCCATCCTGCCCAACCCCCCTTTTCTCAATCTTGTTTGAGGTATTATAAATCCTTTTTTAATTTTTTTTTCTCAGAAATCCGTTTAGAAAGTTCTGGTATAGCCCACGTGCATTGGGTAGATACAAGGAATGCTGAGGGTAGTGTTGAACCGGAATCAGCAGATGAACAATATTATAAATGTACAGAAACATTGTTTCCACAAGAAGAAGGTTTGTATTCTTATGCATATGAACCAAACTAAGACAAACCAAAAACCGATAATCCCCTTTTTATGGCTGGTGACATACTTAGTTATTTTGAAAAGAGTTCTAGCTTGCCGTTGAGTGTGTTATATTGCATTTGAAATGGATAGAAATATTCTTATAAATTCATACAGCTTAAAACATCATTAATCTTTGCATTGTGTACAAACAAATTTGAAAACCCAACTACTTGTATGAATACTGGATGTAACTAGAGGGTGTTCTTGTGGTGGAGCATAAAGTGCCACAATTTAAAAATTAATATGCAAATTTAACAAGTGGTATGGTCATGATGAAGGCAAATTATAGGCTTATTTGGTAAGGCCATGGTGGCTCTGTTAGTATGGCTCACTAACCAGGTGGTCCCGGTTTAAATCCTGGTGTTGGTCGGGGGAAGTTCTTCTGGGGTTTTCCAAGCTTGTTTCCCCTTGGAAGAGCATCCAGTCGTTCAGATGGAACAAAAACCACTAAGGTCCATAGGCGTAGGAGCTCAAAGTAATTCAGGGGGGCATAAGAGAAAATTGCTCGAAATCAATACCGTTTTTTCGGGCATACATATCATAAGAGAGCTTCGGGCATGTTTTCGGGCATGCAGTGGACAAGAAAAAGACGAGAAAATACTTTTCGGGCAGTGTGGATCTCATAGAAATAAGTTAGTTATATTTTTTTCTCTAAACGTTAATAGAAAAAAAAGGTCGTCGAATTTTTTATTGCCCGAAAATAAACTTTAGGGGTGGCAAATGCCCCCCCCCCTGGCCCCCCGGCTCCTACGCCTATGCTAAGGTCCCGTGTAGACATAAAAGAACCCATTAGGAATTCGTTGTAAAGGAAGCAGAAACTCTGCTCGGGCACAATTTCCCTGATAACATATTGAGCATTATCTCGGCTGGTGCTCAAAAGTACGATGTCGTTAATTCACAAAGCTTATTTTAATTCTAAAGATTTTTTTTTCTCCAGCAAATCTGGTTCGGAATTCGTTAAGAACTGGTGATGGATACCATTTGTTACAGCCTGGCCACCATTCATTTCCTTTCAAGTTTCCGATACCTCCAAAATTGCCATGTTCTTTTGAAGGACCATATGGCCACGTCCGTTACTGTCTAAAGGCAATCATTGAAAAAACTTGGAAATTAAAAGTTAACACTCGACCATTTACAGTTAAATCTAGATTGGATCTGAACAACATACCTCACTGTAATGTAAGTATTATGGACGTTTTAATTTTCGATTGTTTACTCTATATAATAAGGCATGTTCAGTAATAGCAGATTGTGATTGGTCAACTACATATCAACCTACCAAACATAACCCTACAATTTCACTAAATTTATTTGAAGGCGTTCACTATACAAAAGTTTGATCTTTTGTTATAAGCATGTCAATACACATGAATAGTTAGAATCGTCAACATCAAGTTTCTTGATAACTTAAACTGGAGAACTGAAGTCATTTTTACAAATAAAATTGTGTTTGTTTTCATTAGACAAGAGACTATATAAATACAAGAAGAAGTAGGGGGTGTTTTATTTTCTTGGTGAGCCAATCTGTGTCTAATGCTTTTATTTTTACTTTTAGGAGGAGCTGGTGAAATCAAACAATATTCAGCTATCATCAATACTGTTTTCCACTGGTTCCTGCTTCGCATCTCTTCATCTTTCTAAACGTGGTTTTATACCAGGAGAAGAAATCCCAGTTAATATCTTTATCAAAAATGATAGTCAACTTAATATTCGTTCTTGTACTCTTGCATTGAAAATGGTAAGTTGGTGAACAAAAGCAAGTCATATTGTAGCATCTTTTAGAGGCGAAATTCTTCTTGATCTTCTACAAATCTAAATCTTTTCTATCTGTGTTTGAATTCTGACATGGTCCTGGAAATACTTTAGGATTTGATACGGAAAGTGTGGCTAATTGTTGGGATGGGATGAAAATCCAGGGTCCTCACGTCAAGTACACGTAGATGTGCGCGTGATTATAACGAATCCTGGAAGATAAGCAGGCGCTGCCCGTGTTAACTTATTCTCCATGGTCGAAATATAGGAACACGTGATTTTAAATTTGGTTTAATCTAAAGATTTGGATACTTTGAGAAACATAATCATCGCCATTGTCCAGTCTGGTTATAAAAAAAATTCTCCAGGAGCTACAGTTTCCACACTATGGATATTGGGGACATGGGCGTGGTGACCCATGATTTTGCATGTGGAACAAGATCCTGTCCGGGCACCACAACAACATTTATATGTATGTGCGGGGGAGAGGGGTGGGTGCTCCCAGTGCCGCCGAGTAATATTGGGCTGTGTGGAACATGCTAGAGTCAATTTGTATCATATCTGAGCCTCGGTATATGTTTGACACTGGTGAAGCATTATGATTATGATTATGATGTTGAAAACCACATTGAAACAGCGTGATTTATTTGCCGTTTGCGAGGGGGTGCAAAAACTCAAAACCATGACGCAAAGCTCGTCATTGCGTCCCTCTCACTTAACACCTGATTGGGGAAATGTGCGCCTAAATAAAATGGTATATTTTTTTATATATTTTCAGATATTACATTACGAAACACCAAGTCAAAGTCGACGTACCAAAATTAATCTTGCAAAAGTAAAACTTGGTAAAGTTCGTGCCGAATCAATCAGCGATACATTTAATAAGAGTTTAAGAATACCAGCAGATTTACCCCCTAATTTAAATGGGTGTGGTTTAATCAACGTGCGATATGTTCTTCTAGTAAGTATAGTATTGTAGCTAATACTAATATGTCATTGTATATGCCCAAATATATTGCTCTTTAATAATCTCGTCTGTTCAGGAGTCGATCGCCCTGTTCAGTTAATGGCAATATTTGAGTGGCGCTTGAATTACTCTGCCTCGGGAACAGTCCGACCCACCCCCTCACACACGCACACACCCACAAACACATAATGTTTGCAGAAATTATAAAATTATATTCAGTTTTGGTTAAAGTAACAATTCTTGACAAATTGATATCATTCAAGAATGTGTGAGTTTAACTTGCTATGTTCATATAATCGTCTTCTTTTTTATGCTGCACTCACAGTCACACAGTGGCGAATATCCTTGCGAATATATAAATTTGACATTCGCGATAAATTCGTCGAAATAGATAAGATTGGCCTGGGAAATCCTTAAAAAAAGCGAGGCCAAACAGATGTTTATCAATGCTTGCGAATTTCTTACGAATCTTTTGCGAATGCTTACGAATGCTCTTGCGAACGAATGAAACGACTACACAAATTATGCGTGGCGAATTGCATAAAACCCCTTGCCCATACTTCTGCTTTGTGATCGCAAGGCCTTTGTAAGGATTCGCAAGCATTGATAAACATTTTTCAGTATTTCTCCGGGACAATCGTATCATTTTCGGCGAATTTGTCACGAATTTCAAATTTTCATATAAGGATATTCGCCACTGTGTGAGAGTATCCGCTAAGACGATTGCTAGCAAATCCTGACAGTAATTATTGTCCTACGACAACTGCTAGCAAATCCTTACAGATTTCTTACAATCATTACAAATACCTTATCATCAATAAGAATGACTTGTGTTTGAAAGCAATGAGAATATTTATTCCTGGTTAATTTTAGGAGCATGTTCCTGATACTCGCAACACCCCATTTACGACCACGAATGCTCACGAAAACCTATGAATATCTGGCGATCACCGATCATTGCGAATTGTTGGCGAATTATATTCGTAAGCTCATTCGCCACTGTGTGAAAGTAGCATTATTTAAACATAGTATATTTTCTTTCCACCATTTCTGCCGTTACATTTTAATCCTTAACCGGACACGGGATATTGAGAATATACAACTTAAGTGTAAGCTTATAACTCTCTACCCTTTTTATCAGCTGAAGATCAAGCCATCGTTCATGTCACTGTCATCTCTGAAGATACCTGTAGAGATAGTTATTGGAACCATACCAATAAACCCATCAACTTTATCTTTATCCCATCGTAAGTACATATATATTTGACATACTGCCTTATTACCCGAACTTCAATATTTAGATGGAATTGAATGAAATGTACTGTAAATGGCGTACATACTTGAGATTTTTTTGATCAGCTTTATTTGTCATCGTACATAAAATGCATTGCAGTTGAAATATACACAGCCCCGTCTACCTTACTCCTCGAAACCACGAAGCTTTGGTTTTCGGATCGTTTTACTCTGTGACTCGTTTAGTTTTTGTTATAATAGAAATTGTAGGTTAATAAAGGGTCGAAAGTAAAAGTGCAAAATGATTTGGACCTAAAGTTCCCAAAGTAATAGTCCATTTATAAAATGCCCTAGTCATAGATGTTTACTAGCGCTAAACAGTTGAAGATGCGAATACGTCGATGCTCTTTGAAATGTCATCCTGTGGAATCTTTAACTACGAACATTTAACTAACTGTATTTAAATTTCATATTGCAGCACCACCCAGCTATATTGAAGTAATGACATCTGAATCTGATGCTTTGCCCAACTACCAAGATGCCATAATGACCTACCCGGCAATCTCACTGTAACAGGATAAAACCCAGTAAACAAGAAACAATGTGCTCAAAATGAAATGATGAATGGGGTATAATTCACACATTCTTGGAACTGAAACGGGGAATAACTCAGTATGCACATGTAAATCAGCCTGGAGTGTGTTGATGAACAAAAATATCCGTGAAAATATCAATGGTATATAATCATTCGGCTTGCCTTCAGTCGGATTATAAAGAGGCCAATCAAAAGAGTTTAGCGAAGATTATAGGTGGTTCTAGTTTGATCATATCGACAATATTTCAATTCATCATATTTATCTGCATGTGTAAATACCTATATTTAAATTTTTGGATTGATATCCCTTGATATTACTTTCACAATAATGTAGTTTGCAACCACGGAATCTCTATGACGTCGAGGGGTTTAAAACTCGTGTTTCTATCATTATTCAACTTATTGAGAACTTTAAAACTCATAAATGGAATAAGTATATCAAAGACAATGGATTATTATCCACCAAAGGATAATAATAGTTTATGATTAAATGTTGTTCTTTATAATAAAAAGTAACATGAAGCACTATAGTTTACAGTGACATGATCACGAAAATTCCTTGCTGTAGCAATGGAATAGGGTTTAACACCCTTCTCAACACTCATTATTATATGCGCATTGAAGAGAAATAATTATTCTATTCGTGTAAAAGTTGTATATTGTGGCTTTTCACACCCACCTCATTAGTAGATGCGTCGACAGAAAGGGGTGTGGACATCTGAAGTCACCACAAAGGCATTGAGTCGAATATAGACGAGGGGCAGTTTGATTCGGGTGTTGTTTGAAACAAAAATAAAATCTACCAGTAATTACAGACTTCGGACATGGATTTCAGACTACGCTCGTGTCCGGTTCCCACACAACAAAAGGATATCATTACTCCCCTGTTCGGACCTCATATAGGATTGTGTGACCATTCTGTAATGTGTCCCCTTAACAGTTATCGCAAACATTTAAGATCTGAATGAAATGAAATGAAATGGGGTTTAACGTCCTACTGTTCTGCTTCTATACTGAGCTAATGAAGACGGGCATACGCCATACAGTGTGCTATGAGGGAAATTTTGCCCGGGCAGCGGCACTATCGCCTACTCTTATATCCAATTCCAACTGCCAAGGGATCTTTTACGTGCATTCCAATGTATACACGGGACCTCGGTTTTTCGTCTCATACGAAGGACTAGACAGCTGTCCTTGTCAGGCCCTCCGTCCTGCATCACTGACAAGGGGGAACCACGCCGGAAAATCTGGATGAACTTTCTCGGCCAATGCAGGGATCGAACACCCGACCTCCAGACTAGCGAGCCAGCGTCTTACCCACTTAGCCACGTGATCCACGGGGATAGCAGTCTCTTGGTATTGTAGCATGTTCCGGGAAGCTTTGTCGCTATTTGCATAAAGGAGAGGGGCAATTTTATTTCATAAAACCTACCTGACATATGTACATATGGATTTCCTTTTTGCGCTATTTATAACTCGCACTCTCCGGTAATAGACTAAACAAGTCTACCGGAAGTTAAAAAACGTGTGTACTACGTCATCATAATGTGACTTCCTGCACACGTGATATAATATGTCAGTTTCCTTTCTCGGCGCGTGGAAATCGCACGTGTTTTTTGTGTGAACTTTAGTTTGTTTTCGGTTTTATGATGTCCGAAATTTCGAGTGATTCATCTACAACGATGACTTCTCTTTCCATTGCGGGGCCCAGTAAGATGGCTTTGGATTTAGACGGTGGAGCCGATGGATGTGGTAAAAATTTTGATCATGCGAATGATCGTGTCACTGTAGCGAAAGAGACAGCCATAGATGAGGTAAGAATTACTTCAAAAAAGAATAAATCTCACAAGAAGTCAAAGACAAAAGCTAGATTAGATGCTTTAGAGCTTAAACTAGATAGTATTTGTCAAGCGATCGAAGGTAATGGCGGCAATGTTTTGGCCAAAAAGCCAGTTACCTCTCCTGAATCATGTAGACGGACAGAACTTCGAGAGAAGTTAGCCCATGTTAGAACGGCCAATACTGATAGAGTTTTCTCTAGGAATGAAGATTCTTACGAATCAGATGACATTTTGTCTATTCAGCCAGGACAGCAAGAACGCATAGACTCTGACGACACTAGGTCTGATGTTGAAATGCCTATTTTAAGTCGTGAAAATGAACACACGTCTAACAACTTTTCTGACAGCGTTATGAAAAAAGGGCTATTTTCCATTTTTGGCAAGGATGCATTGACCAAAAAGGAGGTTACACATTTTGGTATCAAATTAGATGAATCTCAAAGTTGGAGAGCTGTAAATCCTTCTAGCATTTCTGCTTTTCCTGAAGAAAATTGGAAATGTTTCCCATTGATGAGGAAACAAGAACTTTTTTACAAGTCCCATCAATGGATGACATGATAGAAGCCTGCTTAATTCAAAAGCATGGTTCAAAAGCATCTTTTGCTAAATCTGGTCGCTCATTATATAAACAACCGTACAGAGCGGTAGAGAAAGTAGCATATAGGGGACAGCAGGCAGCTTTTATGGGTATCAGTATTCAGCTTTATATCCAGCAGGCTTTGGGTGAACTCATGCAGCAATTTTTTGAAAGTCAGGATCTGAACTCTATAAAAGAGAACTTAGTACAGCAAGTACAGAACATTTTTGCAATGTCAACAAAAAATTTAGATCAGATAGGTAGAGTGGGGGCTTTTCACCATATTATTAGACGTTCGGTAGCTATGACTGACACGTCGCTTTTTGAAGTTGAAAATTCAAAGACTGTATCTAATCTGCCTCTTACAGGAGATGGTGTGTTTGGTCTTAATTTAGAAAAAACTTTGAAGGAGAAAAAGGACCAAAAGAAAGCTGTTCAAGACCTGTTACCTGATGTGCATCGTCGAAAGCGTAAGGGGGCGTTCGTTAGTGAGTCTTCCCCAGCGAAACGGAGCGCATCTTTCCACCCATCTACTAGTAGGGAAATGCTTTTTAATACAGGGTCTTTTCGTGCCCCCACACAGAAGTTTACAAGTAGGCCTTTTGAAAAAAGGGGATCATATCCTAACAAAGGCTACCATAATAACCGCAAACCTTCCTTTACGGTCGGCTCTCATAGGAAAGGCAAAGATCCACAACAATGACGAGGTGAGTGTTTTAATGAGGTGCCCAGAAGTACCTGTTGGGGCCGTCTTTCTCGTTTTCTGGAACAATGGCAAGAGATAACTACAGACAAATGGGTTTTATCAACCATAAAAGAAGGTTACAAACTGGAATTTCTTCAGTTACCTCCTTTCTTAGGAGTAAAGCACACTATTATGGGTGTGGAAAATTTAAAACTTATAAAAGAAGAAATTTCTTCTCTTTTGCAAAAGAATGCCATAGAGATTGTTCCAGAGGAAGAGAAAAGTGTAGGTTTTTACAGTACACTTTTCTTGGTTCCCAAAAAGAACGGGGAATGGGATACTCTACGGAAAGTTTTGAATTTAGTCGAATCAATCAATCGATTTAAAGGATCCATACCTCCATATTCCTATTTTCCCAGGCCACCGGAAATATCTTCGTTTTTGTGTAGAAAACAAGGTGTATCAATTCAAAGTGTTATGTTTCGGCCCAACATCGGCACCTCGTGTCTTTACAAAACTTCTGTCGGTTGTAGAAGAAAATCTTCGCATTCAAAATATCAGAATGGCGTTTTACTTGGACGACCTTCTATCGGTAGACAGCCAGAGGGAGAATCTTTTAATAAATCGAGAAAAGATTGTACATCTTCTGATTCGACTAGGTTTTATAATCAATCTAAAAAAGTCACAACTTGCACCATCCCAGCAAATCGTTTATATAGGCGCATTGTTTCGTCTAGACCAGGGCTTAGTTTATCCCACGTCAGAGAGGGTGAAAAGTCTGTTTTTATCTGTTCAAAGTCTGCTCAAAGATCAGTGCACAGCAAGGCATTATCTACGTCTTTTGGGGATAATAGCATCTTGTTTAGAGTTAATTCCAAATTCAAGACTAGCAATGAGACCTGTTCAATTTCACCTTTTAGGTGTTTGGAAACCCGCAACAATGAGTTTAAATTTGAAGGTGCCTGTTTCGCCAAGTCTAAGATCACATCTGCAGTGGTGGTTACAGGAAGCAAACATTTTGAAGGGTCGCTCATTATGTCACATTCACCCTTCAATAACGATAACCACAGATGCATCATTGAACGGCTGGGGAGGTCATGTCAACCATCTCTTCGTTCAAGGAGTTTGGTCGAAAACTCTGAGAACACAGCATATCAACTTTCTGGAATTGATAGCAGTGTACTTAACAATCAAACATTTTGTTCCAGTTCTTATGAACAGAGATATACTAGTTCGTTCAGACAACACTACAGTGGTGCAATATCTAAACAAACAAGGGGGAACAAAATCTGCACAACTCTGTCAGGAAACTATGGAAGTGTGGAATTTAGCGCTCAAGAACAACATGACTATACAGGCAGCTCATATAGCGGGGGTAAACAATTCTTTAGCAGATCGCCTCAGCAGGGGCAAAATTCTATCAACAGAATGGTCACTGAATCAAGATATAGTCAACATCATTTATTCGCGACTGCCCAAAATCGCAAGGCGCTGATCTTTTGTTCGTGGATCCAGCATCATCTGGCCCATGCAATAGATTCTCTGTCCATTCCGTGGACAAACATGTTCGGGTATGCTTACCCACCAATAAGTTTGATTCCGTTAGTGTTACGACACATTCAAAATTGTCAGTGCGAAATCATTCTGATAGCACCGTGTTGGCCACGACAGCAATGGTATCCTCAATTGTTACGATTTCTTGTAGCCCCTCCTCTGAAGCTGCCAAATTCAAAGATATTGCTGGAACAGGGCAATCCCAAAATATTTCACCCAAACTCAACAATGTTTCAGTTGACTGCATGGAGGTTGTCGACAAACGTTTTGAGACAAAAGGATTTTCTGCAAACACTAGAAAATTACTGGCAGCATCCTGGAGGTCGGGAACAAAGAATGATTATAGGTCAAAATTCAGACGATATGTTAGCTGGTGTAGTGAACGGGAAATTGATCACTATGCTTCAACTTTAAGCAACTGTGCTGATTTCTTGTCGGATCTGTACGATAGCGGCCTTAAATATAGAACAATTGCTGGGTATCGATCTATGTTATCAACAGCATTACAACCTATTAATGGGGTACCAGTGGGACAGCATCCATATATAATTCGCTTGCTGCGGGGTGTGTTCAACTCTAGACCACCCGTTCATAAACTTTTGCCAGAATGGGATCTTCCACGAGTTTTGGAATTTTTGAAAAAGCCACCCTTTGAACCAATGAGGAAATCAAAGTTAAAATATGTAACTTTGAAAACAGTTTTCTTGTTTGCCATTACAACTTTCAGAAGGTGTGGAGATTTCAGTCTTCAGTAATATTAATATACACTCACTGGGGATAACTTTTATTCGTCAAGGTCTTTCGAAACAGGACAGAGCATCTCACATGAATCCAACTATTTTTATTCCATGTTTTTCAGACTGTAAATTATTGGATCCAAAGAGAGCTTTTTCTATATATTTGAAGAAAACAGAAATTTTTCGTCAACAAAATGGGCAAGATCAGACAAAGGTCTTCTTGGGTATTAAGAAGCCTCATCATCCGGTAACGGCACAGACATTGTCTAGGTGGATTGTTAATAACGGTTAAAATGGCTTACACAGGTGATGTGGAGCCAGTTGTGCGGGGACATTCAACTAGAGCGGTAGGAGCATCTTGGGCTCTGTATAAAGGGGCATCCATGAAAAGAATCATGGAGAGTGCGGATTGGACTCAAGCCTCCACGTTTATTGATTTTTATTTACATGATGTTAATGTAAATTTTTTACAAACACAATAACGGGTTAGTGAGGTGTTTGACTGAAATTTCGGCGAAAGTCGAATGGTTATTTGTTTAATTCCCGGCGAGTTTTTCGGGAAGGTATGTATTTTCTTAACTGTTGTATTTAGTATGAATAACTATAAGATGGTTCTTAAAAGTTTAGGTAAATGAACTGATCTGGAACCCACCGCCTTTTTAATGGTACTGCTTGGGGAATCTAGGATTAATCCATATGTACATATGTCAGGTAGGTTTTATGAAATAAAATTCAAAAATTTGATAAAAATTCAAATTTTATGAATAATATACCTACCTGACATATGTACGAACCCACCCATCCTATAACCCCATATACCAAGATCAGTTAACACAGGCGTTTTCACACGCGCCTCGTTGAAACTGACATATTATATCACGTGTGCAGGAAGTCACATTATGATGACGTAGTACACACGTTTTTTTAACTTCCGGTAGACTTGTTTAGTCTATTACCGGAGAGTGCGAGTTATAAATAGCGCAAAAAGGAAATCCATATGTACATATGTCAGGTAGGTATATTATTCATAAAATTTGAATTTTTATCAAATTTTTGAATTTTGACGGGAAGTTACAGTTCAATTTCAACCCAAATCGAACTCAATCGCAAATTGTGCGCAAATGCAATATTTAATTTCGGTAGCACAATTTATCCAATATCATTTAATTTCGGTAGCACGATTTACCTAAAGCCATCATTATTTTAAGTCATGCCCCAATAATTTATGTAGATTTATTATAATTTACTGTTCTTTATTCCAAATTGTCATTTTTATTTTAAAATTGTATTGTTCTTGTGTCCAAATGTGAGTTTAAAAAATGGAAAATTTGGATATATAGACAAGTTATGTCCCTTCCACACGACGCCCAAACTAGCATGAATTGTCGGATTTTGAAATGAAATGAAATGAAATGGGGTTTAACGTCCTATACTGTTCTGCTCCTATACCGGTGTGCTATGAGGGAAATGTTGCCCGGGCAGCGGCACAATGGCCTACTTTTATATCAAATTCCAACTGCCAAGGGATCTTTTAAGTGCATGCCAATGATGTATACACGAAACCTCGGTTTTTCGTCACATCCGAACGACTTGACAGCTGCCCTTGTTAGGCCCTCCGTCCAGCACCACTGACAAGAGGAAACCACGTCGGAAAATCATGATGAACTTTCTCGGCCAATGCAGGGCTCGAACACGCGATCTCCAGACTAGCGTGCCAGCGTCTTACCCACTTGAGGAATGAAATGAAAAGAAATGGGGTTTAACGTCCTACTATTCTGCTCCGACTGGGAAAATGAAGACGGACACGTGCCATACAGTGCGCTGTGGTGGGAAATTGTGCCCAGACAGCGGCGTTACGGCCTACACTCATATCGAATTCCGTCTGCCAAGAGATCTTTTACGTGCTCCAATGTGTACACGGGATCTCGGTTTTTCGTCCCATCCGAACGACTAGACAGATGCTTTACTCGGGCCCTCCGTTCTGCACCACTGACAATGGGAAATCACGCCGGAAAATATCGATGAACTTTTTTGACACAAGAAGGCTGTGATTTTAAAGTACATTTTTAGCTAAAAGAGTGGTCGTATATATTTTAAAAAAATACAATAATTATTGTGATATAATATGCTGAAATACTGGTGGATTTGGGTAAGTAAGTAAGTAAGTAAATTTATTGCATAAAAACGCCCACGAGGAGCAGCATACAATGACAAAAATTGCATAATTACAATACAACAAATATACATGTAACAAATAAACGAACATTAATACAATGCAACAAATATACATGTAACAAATAACGAACGTATTATGTATATAAAGTTAGAAATCAATTAAATAGCAAGGGGGGGGGGGGGGGGTTATAGGCATGTGCTTCCTTTCGGACTCTTTTGTTTCGGAGTTAAATTATGTTGTGTATTGTAAATAGTAGATTTGTGCATTACAACTTCCAAACTTGCTTGGAAATCGCGTTTTGAGGCGCAGTTTGACACAAAAACCCTACGATTTTAAATTAAAACTGGCAATTTGGCATAAAGAACGGTATATTATCAAATATCGATATAAATTACTGTGATGTGATTTGGGTAAATCACTCTACACATTTAATTCTAACTTTTATAAAAGTCGAATACAAATTGTGACCTCTAGAGAGCCCACAATTAATATAGTTGATTTTGTACAATTAGGGGTAATAATCCAAATAGTTACGGTCCGATATACGTGCCAAAATCGAACCCATGCGAGATCTTTGGGATATAATCAAACAGACGCCATTTCAAAACGTGGAACATATTCCTGAAGCAATGGCCCGGGAAATCCCTCTCTGGCCATTTCTATATTGACTTATGATATTTTAGCTTTTGCAATCTGTTTTACAGAGGATTGCGAAAGTCTTCTAATATCTCTGTAAAAGATGACTACCTTCAACACGTGGCGTCTCATCACACGGCGTCAATCATTGATTGGCTCAATGGCGCGTGCATTGTTTACATAAGACCTTACTGGTTCGGGCGAAATGGAGCCTTTTACTCATTTTAATGCCCATTTACACTAAATAGGAAATAATTTTTACCTACAAATACGTCAAACGTCTTTATTTATTTTTCTAATACATCCAAAAAAAAAGTTTTAGAATTTCATTTGTCGGAGGAAAAAAGTTAATGTGTGTGGCTCATTAAGTCGCATCGATGTCATCCTTATATATCAGTGATTGTCGCGGCCTAGCGAATATTCACTGCTGACCAGTGTGGAGCTTTTGAGGGAGTGTGTCTAGTCTTCCCGTTCGTTCGTTTGTTCGTTTCTAGAGTTTTACGTCCACTTCCACCTAAGGTGCTATCTTTAGACAACCTTCCCGTTCAAACAAATCTCTCCGAAGTACAACAACATGACAGCCCTGCGTTTAATCTGGGGTTTTCCCTAAAACTTTGGACAGTGATTTAAGGTATTAAAAACGGTGAAAGTATTATTGTTCGTCTCCAAACAGTATTGTTTACATTGTAAGCGTTGATAGCCTCGTTTGTCACGCAATTAGTTTTTCTGCAATATTCTGCTATGCACTGGTTAATTGTGCCTAAAAAGTTTGTGAGTCATGGCGTAACGTTTGTAAACAATGTGGGCTCGGTTTAAACCCGAATGACATTGTTACGCAGTTAGGCACTGATTGTTAATCGGACTATTGACCAGTCATAATTTGGAACAGAAATTTGCTTTCAACACGGCAGTGCTACTGCTAGGGTGGGATTAGGTCAAATCAAACGAGGAGGAGTATTAACGTGGAATTGTGTTACAATGAATTAATGGGAGTTTAGTGTCCTACTTTTCTGTACCAACCGGGATAATGAAGACGGACATACCTCATACAGTGTGCTATGAGGGAAATTTTGCCAACTGTTGATGGTTCTGGTTCTTTAACGCGCGTGCCAAGGTGTATGTTGGTGTTCCTTCCCAAGTCCTCCAGGATCGAACTCCGGATCTTCTGGTTAGCCAGCGCTTTACTCACTGAGCCATCTTGGCACCCAATTGTTTCAAGACTGTGAACATATAACTAAACTTGACATTGTATTGCCAGGTTTTATATCAATGCTTTGGATTGTGGATTGTGTTGGTGAACTGAAATGGGTTTTGCACGAGTTGCTATTTTAAAAAAAATTCTTGTCGGACATTTCTATCGAAAATAAAGGGGCATAACTTGTATCGTTATTTAAGCAGGTGGTGTAAGGCCACAATTAAAAATCATGTGTCAACAAAATATTCAAATTCGTGCGTAATAAAAAATAGGTGCACCTCGTTATTTTTCATATTTAATTTCCGTGCGGTATTCAAATTTATGTCAGTAATATTCCTACAAAATTACGTGTTGTCGTAATACAACAGAATGAAAGCGTGCCGACTACTGCTCCGTAAGTGTTTCAAATTCAAGCCTGTAATTTTCCTAAAGAATTATTTTTCGGGGTATAAGTCGTAAAACAATAGAATGAAGACGTGCTGGCTATTGCCCCGTAAGTGTTTCAAATTCACGCCTGTAATTTTTTCCTCCAAAATTACCATATTTTTCGGGGTATAAGTCGATACCTTTTTTCCGCAGAGGTTTCGAATTATAATATTATACGGATGAAGGTAAAAAAAAATTACATCCCAGCAGTGTTAAACTTTAGTCTACTAAAAGTTATTTAATAAAATCACATTTAAAGTCTTAGTCTCCAAATCACGTTTTCTCCATATTTAAACTTTATGATTTTCCTATAAAATAAACATAATTTCGTGCTCTATGGCAATTTGATTTTAGCTTCACTAAAATTGAAAAGAAAGGAAATTTAACATCTTACTTTTCTGCACAAGATGTGCATAAATTTTGCACGCCTACTCTTCATCGAACTACAACTGTCAATGGTTATTTTATCTACACAACAACGTGTACACGTAAGCTCGGGTAAACATCCCATCCGACATTCATGAATATTCATGATATTGTAGCGGAAGAGGAGTAATTTCATCACAAAACATACAATCTGTATTATGTGACCCGCTAGATTTATGTTATTTAGCAAAATAGTTGCCATTGCGATAGTCTGGTTCATTAGTGGTAAATAAAAGGAAATGCCTTTGAAAGAATGAAAAAGATATTGCGATATAAGATTTTTGTAGTTAAGAATATGTTACAGTATTTATTGAAATAATCTCTTTTTAGAAACTGAAATTGAACGGTAAATTTTTGATCCTTAAACAATCATAAGATGATAAAATAACGTATCGTATTGCTTGTACATCACGCATAAAATTTTCTCAAATAAATACATAAATTAAAATGACTAGACCTATTTCATTTGGGCCCAGAATAATGAATGAAATGAACGAAACGAAATGAATGAATGAAACGGGATTTCAAGTACCCCTTTTCTGCACGTCCTACTGCGATAATGAAACACGATCATATGCCATACAGTGTGCTATGAAGGAAATTGCCCGGACATCAATTATTATTGATATCCAACTGTCAAGATTTATTTTACGTGCACGCCAATGTATACACGGGACCTATAGGTTTTTCGT